CCGAGGAGCTCAAGTGCCTGTGGCTGGTGGAGCACCAGCGGTGGGACGAGGCGGCAGACGCCCTGCGATTCGCCAGCCAGTGCAGGTTCTGCCAGCTGCCGGCCATCATCACGCGGGAGGACCTCCAGAGGCATCGCACCAAGCAGGTAGGTACCTGATCAAGGCGGTCCAGGCAATGAATGCACACGTGTGGCTGGATGGTTATTGATTGGTCACGTGTGTACAAGCGTTTCTGGCGGAGCCCCGTGTGGTGGCGCTGTGGAAGATGTTGGGCAGGCAGGTCGACTTTGGCGAGTTGGGCCGGTTCGAGCTCTTCGACGACGGCCATGGCAGCCTGCGTGCCATCAAGGACGAGGAGGCCTTCCAGATCCGCCTCTCCCCGCCCCTCCCCCCCGCCCACCGGTATCAGCAGCACAGCGACCCGCACAACCCCATTGTGGCCCACCGCATCGACGTCTACTACGGTCAAGACCATGTGCGGGACGGAGATATGATCGAGGCGTCATTCTCGTCCTACCTCATGCACACCATGACGGCGCGAATGTCTGGCTCCTGTTCGCTTCACCTGATGGAACGGTCAGTGAGTGGACGTGTGGGTGGATGAGGGGTGGAGTAGCAAAATGATGATTGATATCCCTGATTGGCTGGTTCGCTGGGTGGCTGCAGCGGCGATATGATAGATGCTGGCGTGATGGCCCGGCTCGACCGGTCAGTGCACCGTCCGTTTGTCGGCAATGTCGCGGGCGCCTCGGCAGTGATGGCGCTGGAGTACCCCGCCAATGTGTACCATCGGTATGTGGTGATGACGCCGCTGGACCACCCCTTCGCCACAGTCTTCTGCCTCGACGAAATACCTCTTGACGATCAGGAAGGTCCGTCGGTGGGCGGGTGGATGGGCGGGCGCATCTAAGCTCTATTTCCGGCTCTACCTGTCTCTCCGCTTGACCGCTTGTCCGTCGGTTTGTCTGTCTGTCTGTCTCTCTGTCTGCGCGTGAGTGCAGTGCACCTGGTGACGATCACGAAAGAGCCGAAGGCGTCTGTTCCGGACGACGAGCTTCGGTTCTCGCAAATGCATCCCCAGACGACCGCAGGTCCGTACACACAGACGAAGAGACAGACAGACAGACAGACAGGAGGGCGCGAAATGTGGTGCATACATGGACTCATGTGTCTTGCTGGCTGTGTGTGTGCAGTGGCCTCCCGGTTTTTTGGGCTCATACTAGGGGGAGACGATGAAGATGACACGAGCAGCTCGAGCGGTAGCGAGGAGGGGGAGGAGGGTGGCGGTGGTGTGTCCACACATGACGACGGCAGCACGAGCCATGACGCGGACACCGAAAACGACGACGATGCCCCTGCCATCGCCAACACTGGTACGTACGTTACATGAGCTGCACGAGCATCCATCCATCCATTCATCCATCCATCGATCGCACGCACACACACGCGTGTATCCTGCTCCCTCCTTCACTACCTCTGGTTGTATGGATGCGTTGTTGCAGAGGATGCGCCAATGGCGGTAGAGGACAATGGCGAAGGCAAAGAGGACAGCACACACCAATGAACAACCAAGTAAGCAGTCAGGCAGGCAGGCAGGCCAACACAAGATGAATGTGGGTGGGTTGTGTTGTCTTGTGTGGCCGTCTGTCGCCAGAGTGGGAGGAGCGTTGGAGCGAGCAAGCGAGGGAGCGAGCGATCAGAGCTAGCCAGCTAGCTAGCTAGCGTGTTTGTGGATATCAATCAGATTGTCTGTCTATGCATCCGCATGGATGGATGGAAGGGCCGTCACTGTCTATATGTCTGCCTGACTGCCTGCCTGCCTGCCTGCCTGCCTGTGGCATCCATCCATGCATCTTGTGTGTTTGTGTGGGCAGATACCTGTGCGTGTGTGCGTGTGTGCGCTAGTGTGTGCGTGTTGGTCAATGAATGCATGACTGTCCACCCCGCACACCCCACCGTCCACCCACGCCAAGCAACGCACCCACCCAAAGCCACAATGCACATCACATCAATGCGCGCCAAAAATATTGCAGCCCTGAATGTAAACGACGAATCGATGAAATGGAAAGGCTTTGGCAGGCGAGGCCACTGTTCAGCAGAGCGGACTCCCCAACGGCTGCCTACGCCCCCCTCTACACGGCGTCATCGCTGGAAATAGCTCCTGTGAACCGAAGGTCGCCTTCGTCGTCGTCCGACCAATCAAGGCTCTCGCCAGTGCTGGCTGCACTGACCGTCGCCTCAGTCCTCCTTTTGTCATCGTTGGCGGCTGGCTTGCCGTTCGTCCACATGGCCCAGCCGCTAGAGGGAGAACCGCTGCGGGAAATCAGCCCCGATGAATTTGTCGAGAGGAGAGGAGCGCACCTCTACCTCGCAGGCAGGGTGTTTCGCTTTGCAGGTGCGACCAGCTGCAGCTCCAGCAGCATCAGCAGCATGGCACACATGCATGCGCTTCTGTCGTGTCCTGTGTCTGTCTCTCTGTAGGTTGCAACATGTACTGGCTGGGGCTCGATGAGAATGTGGGCGGCATCGCCTTCCCGTCGCAGTTCCGCATCGATGACGCTCTCATGACGGCCAAGGAGATGCACCTCACAGTGGTCCGAGCACACACCATCGGCATCTCGGTGGGCAGACCAGAGTCATTCCAACCGGCCCCGGGCAGATTTGAGCACGACAACCTCAAGGCAGCTGACTACGCCATCCACAGGGCCCGAGAGCTGGGGATTCGGCTGGTTGTGCCGCTGACGGACCGGTGGAATTACTACCATGGGGGCATCCACACGTTTGCCAACTGGCGCAACGTGACTGCTGATGCTTTCTACACGAACGATACTGTTATCGAGGTGAGATGGACAGATAATGACACCTCACGCTGGTCGCGAGCGCAGGTATTGTGCCTTCAGGACTTCAAGACGTACATCAGCGAGCTGCTCAACCATGTGAACCCCCACACAGGAATGGCGTGGAAGGACGACTCCACCATTATGTGCTGGGAGACGGGCAATGAGCTCTCGCCCCCCGTCGCTTGGACCAACACCATCGCCCAACACATCAAAACCATCGCGCCGCGGCAGCTGGTGATGGACGGCCGATGGGGAGTGGACGAGGGTATCTTCTCGTCTCCTCATGTGGACATCGTGAGCTCCCACTACTATGTGTATCCCTTCCTGGAGCTGTGGATGGACCTGAGGAGGGCGGCGAGAAGAGCGTCAGAGGCCGGGAAGGTGAGAGACTCGTGCACCTTCGATGAGAGGTATATCGGTGGCATGATAGCTGCTCCTCGGTTGTTCAGGTCTTTGTCGTTGGCGAGTATGACTGGATTGGCTATCCGTTTGGCGCGTCTGTTAACCTTATTCCGTTCCTTTCCCTCATCGAGCGGAGCGAAAACGTGGCCGGATCGCTCTTTTGGTATGGGAGACACCCCAATTGCTGATATCCTTGTGTCTCTCTCATATTAAAGATACATTTCTCTTTTCAATTCAGGTCATTGTTCCCCCACCGCGATGATTCGGGATTCGTGTACCATCGTGACCACGTGCTGTCCTACACGCTCCACTACCCGGGCCCCTCTGCGTCGATGCGGCAACGCACACAGATCATCAGGCACCATGCCGCGAGAATGAGGTGAGTGTACACATGCCACGAAAACAAAACAGGCAAGGAGGATCCCACAGATGCTCTGCATTGTGACAGAGGTTTCTCGTCACCGTTGCCACACGGCGTCCCTCCCCCGCCCCACATCACGGCCGTCACATCAGACACCGTCAGGTGGTGCGGGAGTGTCGGGGCAGCCGCATATGAGGTGCAGATGAGCCTCGCCATCACCGGCCCCTGGAGGAACATCACAGCCAACGCACAGAGACAACAGGCCGAGAGACTGCGCCTCCCGCCCCTTCTCAGCATCAGCAACTGGACAGGCTCCCCTCTGCCCCCGCCTACCGACCACTCCCTCCCCTTCCCCCAAGCACCGTTCTTCGTCAGGCTGGTGGCCGACAATGCATGGCGCAAATGGCCCGTCAGTGGCGTAGGGGCGTCTCTGTGGGCGCATCTGTGCGACACGATGAGGGCGGATGAGCAGAGGAGGGATGAGAGAGGCGAGGTGGCTTTCATGCGGGTGCGTGGGGTCAACTTGGCTGGAGTGGCGGGGGAGTGGTCTGAGCCTGCATCGATTCGATGCACAAGGGAGTGACGCGACTCTTCTCGTGGGACATTTGTCTCACATTGTCTTAACTGAGCAGTCATGCCCTCAAAAGTATCGAAAAATACCCAAACAAAGTCTGTGCAGGTGTTTAAGCGACTGCCTACAACGTCTACATCGCATGATGAGAAACGGATCGAGCAATCAACCCGTCTCATCATGCGATGAAGAGGCCGCAGCCACTCGCCTCCACACACAGACACGGCACAAAACGAGACGACACGATAGGAACAAACGCTTCAGCGCCCATACACCCTTAGCCCAGCAGCCACCCCCGCATCCCTTCCAACCCAATCAGCCAGAAGAAGCTCGTCGGGGCGCACATCGCGCCAATCAGACCAGCCAATGCAACAGGCAGACTCCCAGGGGCGCCCTTCCGCCGCCTCCCGGCCTTCTTGACGGTGCCCCTCTTTCGGTCCTCAATCGACTCGATAACCGAAGCCATCGGCGACTCCATCTGGCTTATCTCACACGGCAGTGCCGCCCACCGCCTCAGAGCCACGCCTGCACGCCAAACAAGCCAACAACACATCCATCCATCCATCCATCCATCCGCCTTGCGTGTGTCATCCTCCGATTGGCTCACCAGTGACGGTGAGAACAACGGCCGTCATCAGGTACCAGAATGCGCTGTTCCTCACACTGAAGTCGGCGGCCCAGTCCTTCATCAACACATCGGCATGTGCACCCGCCTTGGCCGGCGGCAACGGGCCTGCCCCAGCGGCGGATGATGACCTACCCTCACCGCCGCCTCGCCGTGCTGTCTTGATGGCTTCAGACAGCTTCTCGATGGCCTCCTTCCAGGCCGCTCTCGACAGAAGGGTCTCGCCAATGCCCTTGAGAGTCGCGAGTGTGACGGGCGGCGCGACGGATCCGAGTGGGTCCTGCAAGATTTGCAGACAGGCGTAGCGGTAGGGGACAGACAGGGCACCGAGTGCAATTTGGCCGAGGCCGGCGTAGAGAAGGGTGGTGCCCAGCGAGTGCTGCTCGGCCGCCGTCTGCTGCAGAGATCTCACGCGCTCAGACAGAATCTACAGTGGCACCAGCGGCAGTCAACAAGACTGTTTTTGATCCCTGTGCATGTGTGTGGTGTGTGTTGGGCCAGCTCCACATATACCTGATACTCTACGGCGGTGCGCAGACATTTTGCCATTGCGGCCCTGGATTCCTCACGCGCCATCTCCAGCTGACCTTCAGTGGCACCGATGGCCTGGCCCTCGGGCACCTTTGGTGGTGCGCCGCCCGCCTTCCTTTCAGCTTCATCAATCTTTGTTCTCCGCTCGTTGAGCTTGACACGCAGGCTGGCACTCATATCCATGGCGGCAACGTTGACACAAAAGCACAGAGGAGGGCACAGATCCTCCCCTCAAAGATCTGAGCTCGCAAAAGTAACAACGCAGATCGTGGATAGAATGGAGGTCCGGAGCGCTCGGCATGTCACGATGAGCGCACTGAGTAAGATCACCCATCCTTTCCAAAATTGACTGAACGAGAAGTCTAGTTGATGACGGTGAGCACGAGTGGATGGATGCTGGCTTTGCTTTGGCTTTGCTTGACGGCCCTGTCAAGCTCGTCTTCGCATTGTTGTGTCCGTTTAGTTGCCGTTTAGTCATACCAGCAGCTGAGGCCGCTTCATCGGCGGCTGATCATAGTCCACTACAGGTGAGCGATGCAAAGGAGCGATGGAAGCAGACAACAGCGGCTGTCATGATGCATTGGCTTCTCTTCTTCTCTCCCTGGTTTCATGCAGCAGGTGCCGTCCTCCCCTGGGTTGTGTGAGGACAGGGCCGGTGTCGCAGCCAGGGAAGACACCCACCGCCGGTACGCTTTGCTGCCGACGCGTTCATGACGTGATCATCTCATCTCATTGTCGCTGTGCTTTGCCTCGTGTTTGTCCGATAGCGGCCGCCTGCATCCCTCTCTCGTGTGCAGATGAGTGGCCAGACGGGGGCGGTGGGCGAGCGGAGTACTCTGCCACGACTGTGACTGACTCGCATACCTATCCGTTTCATCGCCTGGTAAGCAAAGGCAGACCCGCTGCCATCAGACCATCATACATGTGCTTTGCCTTCAGCCTCGGTGAGGACAATGATGGCGGCGCAACCTACACAGTCATCAGCTGCAGCAGCGGCACCAGCACCACATGTATGTGGGCAGCTGACACACACACACACACACACACACACACAAAGTGTGCCATGCTTTAATGAGGTCTGCCTACGTTGTTCCTTTGTTCGTTTCACCAGGCGGCGCCATGCCGTGGGCCGTGTGGTTTCCAGGAGGGCAGTCGTGTGTGGGTGGTGACGGAGAAGCGGGAGGAGGGCGAGCAAGAGTGGGTCAAGGCGGACGTCTACCGCATTGACGGGAGGACGGTGTACTTCCGTGAGGTGGGCGGCGGGGAGGGCTTCAAAGTCACTGTGCCGACCAAGACCATTCCACCCACAGAGCTGACGCCACACGCGGTGAGCAAATGCACGACAAGATGATTGCCTCGTTGGTCCACTTGTGTGTCCGTTGTGTGTGAGTGCAGGTGTGTGAGACGGCTTCCGTTATCTCCGGTCAGAGCCGCCCCCCAAGGAAACCCATGACGGCGGCAAGAAGGTACACACACGCGCCACTGCACACACAGCACACGGATGCCTCCCCTTTGTGCGGTCTGTTCGCCGTTCATCGTTGCTTCCTATCTCCCCCTGTCAGGCCGTTGACCGTCTCGGCAATGATGAGTTGGCATCGCTGTTCAGCTTTTTGAGCCCTTGCGAGCTGTCCGCCCTCTTCCCACATCGCTCCCCCGTCCGCAACGGAGCCGTCCGGCAGCACACCCACATCACCATCGACGCATCCACCCCGGCCGAGTATCAGTTCTGGAGCAGCACGACCACACAGGACGCCTTCAAGCTCGGCAGACGGCTGACCAGCCTGACGTCGGCTCACGTGGTGCAGCCGCACACCCATCTGGAATGGTGTCTGAACACATTGACAGCCGTCGTGGAGGGCCATGCTGCGGGCCGCCGGGCGGCGCGGGAGAGGGAGAGCTTCATCGAGTCCATCCACTTCAGCTGCCCGACCGACGTCCGTGCCGGCCACGTGTGTCCATCCCGGCCCCGGCATCCTTCTCTCCCCCTCCCCTCTCCCCGTGTCCAGCTGCCGTCCCTCAAGAGCATCACGGGCCTTCGTGAAGCCCACGGGATGCTCGAACGGGGCTGGGTGATGCCTCACCTGGAGGGCGTGACCACGGGAGGAACCTTCAGGCTGGCGACGGACGACTTCGTCCGCTTTCTGCGGCAGCTGATCAAGACGTCTCGGTCCCTGAAGCGGCTGGCCGTGGGTGGGCTTCGTCACGAGGCGACGCTCTGCGTCCTAGCGGGCATCCCTGAGGGCGGGAGGGGGGAGAGGGGGCCGCTGGCGGGGCTCGAGCACCTGTCGACGGTTCTCCTGGGACCCAGGGAGAACTTCGAAGAACTTCAGGCAAGTAGAGGAAAGGCGTCGCTGAGCTCACACATCATAGTGTTGTGTCGGTCTCCTCCTCAGAGGTTGTTGGTTTCTCTCGGCTGCAAGCAGTCCATCCGCCATCTCGGGGTTGGCAGCGCCGTGCCTTTACGGGACCTTCCACGAGGGGAGCATCATTGGCTCCATTCCCTCAAGGCCTTCGCCGAGGCAGTCGCGTCGCCCTCCGTCGACATCGAGTGCTGCCTGCCCGCTGTGGGCTGCCTCAACACATTCCTCGATCCGGCATTGCTCGACACGCCATCCCTCGCCAAGCCCCTCCAGGCCATCGCGAAGGGGGCCGGGACGATCGGCGGATTCGGTGGCCCGGAGGACGCCATCACACTGGAGGTCACGCAGGCCATCGTCGACGGCAGCAACGACGTGATGGGGCCCCTCACCAAGAGGGCGCAGCAGACGGCAGCCAGCCTCACATTCGAGAAGGTGAAGAAGGTGGCGATCTGGGCGCCGGAGGATCTGCACATCCCCGATGACGCCCCTCCCCCTTCCATCCGCGCACTCCAGCACCTGTCGCCCCAGGCATTCCCCAACGCGACACAGCTGTTTGTGGGAGCAAGACCCGTCGGTCCCCAGGGGCCCCAGGCAGCTGCGGATCTCACGAGCCGGATGCCGGCGCTCGACCACCTGACACTCACGTCTGCTGCACCTGACACCGTCGACATGCTGAGATCGATCGGCGACCGGGTGCCACGCAAGGTGCAGCTGGAGGGTTTTCACATGGGCCTTCCACCCCCCGCCCCCAATCCACTGCCCCCTGCGTCTCTGCCCCGCGTCAAGCACCTGTTGGTCATGGGCACTCAGGGCATGTCTGCGGCCAAGGCGGCGGTGGCCGGCATGAGCTCACTGGATGAGGCGATAGTGGACACGGCTGGTGTAGCAGGGTTGCTGACGGCGATGGGCGGCGGGCGGACGCTCAAGTCGCTGCAACTTACCTTTCATCCACGTAGTTTCCGCGCCCTCGAGTCTGCTGATCTGACCCACCTGCCCAAAGTTGAACGCGTGTTTGTGCCAGGTACACAACAAGTGCGTCACTCTTCTTCACATCTGTTCGCTTTCACACAGTTTTCGATCGTACCGTCTGGCCTGCTGCCGATGTCCTAGCCGGTGTGAAGGCCTTGTGCCGTCTGCGAGACCTGCAGCGGTTCGAGTTCTGCCTCCCTGAGGCATCGAAGGACCGCATCGGTGGCCCTGAAGACCCCATCCACGCGTTGTTGGGCGAGATGCAGCAGCGCCACGGCACGACACTCGGCACATTGATGAAGAAGCACACACTAGTGCAGCAGGGGCTTCATACCCGCAGCGGTCACATCGACTATCGTCTGCTGCTCGACGCTGGCGACATCCGGCAGGTTAGTGATGTGTGTGCAGTGCTGCCTTTCCACTTGTCATGACGTATCGACTGCAGATTCTGGCGGCGGAGGCCGAGGCCCACATTGCAGGCCCCGCCACCGCCTCTCACACTACCGATGCGAATACAGGTACGCAAGCGCAAGGAAGGGCGACCACGAATGAGTACACACCGTGGGTAAGTAAGGTATGCTTTTATCAGGTTCGTCATTAGGTTCAGGCCCTGCAGCGGCATCAATATCGGCAGCAGGAGGAAGCGCGAGGCAGCTGACGAGCATGACTGATGGACAGGACAGTGATGGTGGTTTGGCGGAGATGTCGTGCAGCCGTGCGGCAGGCCATGTGGACCGCCAGCAAGAGGACAGGTAGCTAGCACATTGGGTGAGAGGGGCGAAGATGGGTGGATGGGTGGGTGAGAGAGACACTCGATGCTGTGATCCGATCCATGCGTGTCTGTCTGCGCGGTGTGGTGCATGCTTGCTTGTCTGTCAATCTTCGTGTGGGTGGAACTTCCCTTCCCATCCTGACTGAAGCTTCCTTCATGTTTGCATTCATTCACTCACTCATAGGGCAGCCCAGCCACGAAAGTCATCATGCCATGCATTCAACCTCGCCTACTGTACACACCTGACTCACCTTCTCTTCTCCCCCACGCATTCCACCCCGCCCCCCATTCCATCCGTCCATCCCATTCACTTCACTAGTTGTTGGTTCCCTTGGGGTAGCGATAGAAGATGGGCCCCGTCACGCCCTGCTGCACCGTGTTGGGGCCCATGAACACGTTGCGGTTGCCCTTGGCCCGCTCGAACCGACGGCTGACGTGCCGGCCCTCGCTGTTCTTCCAAAAGTTGGTGGCCTGGCTCCAGTCCTGCGTGTACCACCATGATGGGAACGTGCCGTAACAGATCTCGCCACGCTTCAAGCTCCTCAGCTTGAAGTAATCAACGCCGGCATACGCAAAGGCCACCCTGCAAAGGAGCCAGCCGAGAGAGAGGGGGGGGGGAGAGAGAGAGAGAGAGACGCGCGATGGATCAGTGCAGTGGTGTCTGTCTGTATGCCGGGTGGGCAGGTGCTGCAGCTCACCGCATGGCCATCTTCTGCCTCTGGCATCTCGCCCGCTGCAGCCGCTCAAAGTTCTCCATCACATCGAAGGCCCTCTTACGCGGCTCATTCCCGGTGCGTATCCTGTTGCACTCCATCGGCGCCCTGACGCTCTCCTCCTCCTGCTCCACTGGCCGCACACCATCTGTCGGGTCCACCTTCCACCTGCCCTCATCCACCAGCTCGGAGGGCTCCAGGATCTTGACCAACTCCCCGGACACGCCATCCCTAACAGCAGGGGCCTCGATGGCAGCGAATGGCTGGGCGTCCGAGCGAGGGCAGTGGATCTCTTGCTTCTTTTGGTCAAGCAGCAGCGAAAGGGTCTCGAGCTGCCTGCTGGTGTGGTGAGGGAAGAGCCGCACTGCTGCTGGTGGCAGGGAGGGAGAGATCTGCGGACCAGAGTGAAGGAGGCGAGCTGCAGACATTGAAAGGGCGGGAGAGGCAGGCGAAGCAGAGCAACGTCGAAAAAGCATTGCCGCGGGGAAAATGTGACTGCAAAGATTCTGTGCTCGCAGCTTCGATTAACGACGCCACCGGCCCTAACTCATAAGGCTGGGGACGGGCGAGGCAGACGAGGCGTGATGTCCTCTGCTTTTGGGCCCTTTTTAGAGAATCAGGCGGATCGATTTCAACTCAAAGCTGGACAACGATGGTGCCTGTAGCGGTTCCTGCAGGCGATGGCCCGTCAGAACACGGCCCTCCTTCTGAGGCAGCAAGCATCCCTCCCGCATCTATTGCAGTCCCAAGCAGTGCCCAGAAGAATGTCGGGACGGCAGATGGGGCGGCAGGCCGGCCGCCGGGACCACCATCATCTCCATCTGCATCTTCATCGATGGCTGCCAAGGGTGTGGAGAAGGAGGTGGAAGTGAGTGGGGTTCAGAGTCGGTTGCGAGTCTACGAAACGGAGGAAGACCCGCCTGACGGCATGTCCGATCTTGAGGTCACCACACACCGATGCACCAAGGCCCTATACATCATGCCTACCTTGTGGCGTGTGAGTGTGTGTGTTTAGGTGGATGTGTACGAGACGATCAAGACGATTCGCGACCCCGAGTTTCCCTACACCTTGGGCCAGCTGCGCGTCATCACCCCCGACGGCGTGCAGGTGCACGAGAAGCCCGGCCTCACCCCACTCATCACCGTCACCTTCAGACCCACCGTCGCCCACTGTGCTATGGCGCAACAAATCGGTACGCTCGGCCCGGGGCCGATGGATGTGGGGCCTGTCTGTCTGTGGAAGAGCAGGTGTGTGTGTGCAGGTTTGTGTATCCGGTCGAAGCTGGAGAGAGAGTTTGGACATGACAGGTGAGGGAGGGAGTGGAGTGGAAAGGCGAGGCACCCATGGCGCGACGAGCAATGTGTGTGCCGTGTCTGTCGTCGGTCAGGTACAAGATCGACATCTTCGTTGCAGAGGGCTCCCACAACGACAGCGCTGGCATCACCAAACAGATCAACGTAAGGACCAACGCCCACCTTCTCTCGCTCTGTGGGCTCACTGTGAGTGTTGCTGGCTGTGTGTGTGTGTGTGTGTGTTGGATGTCAGGACAAGGAGCGCGTGTCGGCTGCCCTGGAGAATCCCATGATTGTCAAGATGGTCCGGGCGGCCATCGAAGACCCCTACTGACTGGCTGACCGATAGCGGGCCAGCCGTGTGCGTGGAGCGAGGGATGATTTGATTGGTTAACGGCCAGAGCTGGTTTTTTGAGGGGGACATACATGGACATTTCATGCAGGCAGGCAGGCATGTAGGCAGGCGAGCTGTTTTTGGGTGGCGATTGTGGCGCCTTGCCTGCCATATTGGGTTGCATTGAGTTGAGTTGAGTGAGAGGGGTGCTGAGCTGTGCTGGGAGGGAGGGAGGCCCAGTGTAGTGTACATCACGGGGGGATGTCTGTGGGGCATTGCATTGATCACCGACGGATGGATGGATGGATGGATGTACATGCCATGCCGGTCGGGTCGGCTGGTGGAGAAGAGATGAGACACACTGCGGCGCACGTGTGTGTGGATTTGCAGTAAAGGGTTGGTTGGCTGGTTGGTTGGTCGAGCGTCACACATGCACACACATACATTCATTCATTCATTCAATGCAGGGTCTGCCAAGGTCTCTTCCCTACTCGCGCAGGACCGTCTAATGTCGTTCGTTCATCCATAATGATTCTCGTGCTCACGGTACTGCTTCCTGATGACACCAGTAGGCACAGAGAGAGAGACGAGGAGGAGATGAGCATCCCTGTCTCTGTGCTGTGTGGATTGTTCCTTCTCTGCGTCATACTTCTTTTCTTCCTCGACGAGTGCCCTCTCGTACTGCCACACGGTCATGCCCTTGGCCCACTCAGGCCGCTCGTCCTCATCATCATTCTCGTCCTCCTCGTTGCGACGACGCTTCTTCCCACCATCTGCCATGAGATCTGACGTCCACACAAACACACAGACAACGGCTCTTGGCGTGAGTGTCGTGGGTCCATCTCAAGAGTGCTCTCTGATCGCACCTCTCTTCCGCTTCTTGGAGCCGTTGCCGTCTCTGTCGAGGCTCTTGTATCCGTGGTTGATGGTCTGTCGGCATGCCGTTCTGAAGGGGAAGAAGTCGGTCAGAGACGACTGCACCAGGGGCGTCTTCGGGCCACGACTGACAACACACACAGACGGACACAGACAAATCGGTGAGTGTCCGGTATATGGTGCTTTTGTGTGTCGCTTACACGCGTCTGAAGTACTTGGTGATCTTGGGAGTGGTCGTGGCTGCCGAGCTGGCCGTCGGCAGCGTCCTGCAGTAGCAGGCAATGAAGCGATGTTGCACTCGTCGTGTCGTGTGTGCCAGTGCATTGGATCGCTCCGAAGTATGCTGCACAGACAATACAATACAGAAAGAGACAGACACACAGACAGACAGACACACAGACACACACACAGAGAGAGAGAGAGAGACAACAGATAGGGAGAGCATGGCAGGCAGTTCGTGTCTAGCTGTCGCCCAACCTGGCCTCTGTAAATAATTTGGAGAGGGCCTGGTGGCGAGTGGGTGTGATGGGCTTGCCGAACACCTTGTTGTATGGCAGCGGCTTGCCGCACAGATGATCGTTGATGTCCTTCTCCGTGTAGCCCTCCATGCCGTCATACTCGTCACCCTCACCGCTCTCTATCTCTACCTCCACCCCTCTCTCCCTCAGTTGCTGCCTCTCGTTGGCCTTGCTCTCGGCGATGGCCTGCCGCTCCTCATACCACTGCTGCTCGATCTGCTCTTCGTTGTCCCACATGTCGACATCGAAGCGGGCGTCGCCACCCCTAATGTCCATCTGCCACAGCTGGCGGTTCCACACATAGCGACGGCTAAACGGCAACACCTGCACAATGACGGCATCAATACAGCCGATCAAGGGGACGGAGATGGCCTTCCGTGTTGGTGTACCCACCTGTTGGTGTCGGTCTACGGGTACGGTCTGGTCGTTCGTCGTGCGATCCATCACCCCCAGCACGCTGATCTCGGAGTGCTTGGTCTGCTCGTGGCGGTTGCCGTCATCGTAGTGGGTCTCGGGGTCATCGCGGTCCCACTGCTCGTCCAGCAGACTCGCACCGCCAAACAGAATGACATCACTGGACACACAACCGAAGCCATTCATCTCTGTCTGCGTTGCGGGTGCGTAGCCGTGAATGTGTACTCACCTGCCCGTCCACACGGCAGCTGCACACGCTGCAGGGGGCGGCTCGTAGGGCTTGTAGGGCGTCTCGGGAGCGGGCCGTGGGGTCGTGCCGGCGGGTGGGGCTGTGCCACACATCTTCTGAGGCCGCGTGGCGAATGCCGGCTTGCTGAATCGGCCCGTGGTGATGTCGAAGATGAGGGTCTTCATGCCTCCGAACCTGGCTCCGAAATCAGCGTAGTTGGCGTAGGGCAAGTTGATGACGATCTTGTCACCTGCAAGTAAACACAGAGGCCCACACAAAAAAAGGCCAGCATCTCTTACTCCGCCGGACTGCCTGCCTGCCTGCCTGCCACTGACCTGCCAGCACAGCTGTGTGGCGAGCAAAGTCGCATCGGTGGCCCTCCGCCGACGCCAAGTATGAGCGAAGTGCATCTGACGACAACACAACACGACAACCTGCGCTACGATGGCCAACACATGGACGACAGTTTGTGCTGACTGACTGACCATCAACCAGCGGGAAAGTGCCCCTCGAGACCCACGGCAGACAGCTGAATATGATCCACCTGCAAGCAATGAAGATATATAAAGGCACTTCCATAGACGCCACGGAGGACACGCGATGCATCAGACGGATGACTCACGTCTTGCCTTCTCCGTCAAAGATGTTCAGCCGCGGTGGCGACGCGAAGCCCATCGGCATGAAACGCTCTGAAGGTCCGTACTCGCTGTCAAACTCGTCATCGTCAAAGTCAGAGTCAATCTCATGGTCCCACTCTGCAGGCACGCAATCACACACACGACGCCAGCACTGTCAATTCGATCGACATTTTGTCCTGCCTGCCTTACCCTCTCCGCCGATAATGAAGACATAGCGGTCCTTGACGAGGGTGGCCGTGTGGTTCAGACGGGCTGTCGGACGGGGGCCGCTCACATTGTCATCGCTGACACGGACACACAGACAGACAGACAGACAGACAGCCAAGATGAGAGCGGTCGTGGCGGCGAATGGGGGTGGGGGTCTCTCACCTGTTGTTGAATGACCAGGTCGCCACGTCGACGATGATCGAGGAACTCAACGCTTCGCTGGCCGAACCAGAAAACGCTGAAGGGGTCGTGCCGGTGCTGTCAGGCCCCAGCCACCGTACCCGTATGTGTTTTTGCCACCGATGATGAAGATGTAGCCATGTGGGTGAGCGGATGACCGAATGGGCACACACGTCGACGTGAAGAAGCGACTGTAGCCACAGACGCAGGAAGGAGTGAGTCGGCGGACATATCAAGATGCAGCCTGGACACACACACTCCATCTATCCACTTCGGCTTACCGATTCAGTGGCGGTGTGCTCTTCTTCTCCTCGCCCCTCAGCTCCGCCTTGCTCAGCCACTGGTGCTGATACGTGGCACCCGCACCACCCTCCTCGCGATTGATCTCCAGCACACCCCAGGGGTTGTCGGTGTCGCTGCCTCTCGGCCCACCAGCCGCAAAGTAGCGTTTTGGCCACTCAGGTTGGGTGTGTGGTGCGCGGAGGGGAGGTGCGATGTTGAGAGGTGTGAGGGTGAGGGCATCTGATGGGCGGGGAGCGACGCCATCGACGCGACACCTCTTCCACTCGTACTTGCCGCCCGACACGAGGGAGGCCAACGACACACTGGGAGGGAGGGAGGCAAAGAGCAAGAAGTCGGCATCCATAAGTGGATACGCGTGTAGCTTTCGCCTACCGCCAGAGTTTTTTGGAGAGGCGGTTCTCGCCCTTGCCTCCAACCACCCCACCTGAGGGACACACCGACACAGGGGCATCAATCAGGTGCCTGACTGACTAAGTAGGGCTTCGTCCTTCTCTCAGTGTCCTCACTTACCGAACACATACAGACTAGGGCCAGCAATGAAGATGCTCGAGCGGCTGCGCTTCATCCCATCTCTCGGCTTGATGCACTTGGCATGGCCCCACCGCAGCTCACTCACCTCGGCGTTGGCACCGAAGTCCTCGACGACTCTGCTGCGGCGATAGGCCTCGCGGTAGTCCCCCTCGGGCAGAGGCACGTACGCGGAGGGGTTGCTGACCGACTCACGGGGGAAGTGGGCGGAACTGCTGATGAGTCGAATGTTGCCCTTGCCCCTCTTGCCGAACGAGCGATGGTACTGCAACACATTGGAATGGTTGGGCGCAGCTGTAATGGCGTGTTCGTGTGTGCCTACCTGCAGCCGCCAGATGGCCGACGAGGGGTCGGGATCCACCAGGGCCTTCAACTCCTTACACACTGCACACACAAACCATCCACAAGATCGGCAGATCAACTCATGGACTATCTGCAGCGTGGCGTGCGGCTTCTCTCCATCATGCAGCCTCCCCCTCCCTCCTGTGTGTTGTGCTGTCCTGTGCTGCGTTTCTGTTCTGTTCACCTCTCTCGAGGATGAAGAGGTCGCGTCCGTCGACGTATGGAAGCGCATACGGGACAGCTTCGCTCAGCGACGTGGCCGCCATCTTGAACACACTCCAGCGAGTACACGATGTTTTTCGGCGACCACTGCGAGCTTGAACGCAAGAGGGGGTCGTTCTTGGGGGAGAGGCAAGATCCAGACCAGGTGGACGGACACCAACCTCCCGCCATTCCAACTATCGCAAAAACTGGGAACGAACGATGCTCAGCGGGCCTCTGGCACTCCAATGTCTATCAGGGATCTATCTGCCAATTTCTATCATGGCCTTCCTATGTGATCCCCATCTGCCATTACTCCAACGACCAGCCCTGGTCACACGGCAACAGTTCCGCTTCCCAGCAATGCTTTCGCACAGGAGGGAAGGCATCGAGCCATTCCCAAAGCCGCCGCCCTCTGTTCTGTCAGCTTCTGATGGTCGGGGATGCAGGCGGTACCATCTCGGGTTGCTTTCTGTTGCTTTGGGCTCCCTCATGCTGCCGGCGTGTGGTGCAGAAGCTGCTGCCGACTCATCAGCAGTCCTGCCCGAAGAGTTCCAGCGCCTCAACTCGGATCTGAACCGGCTCACTCGGCAGCTTGAGAGCAATGACCCGATGGACGTGCCCCTGCTCATTACGAGGACGATTCCTCTGCAGCGGTTCAGGGATGCGGCCGACGCAGCTGCAAAAACGGCACTGGGCTCTGTCGACGGGATGGACTCACAAGAGTTGGCATACAAGGCGGACAAGGTGAGAACAAGTCACACCTAACGAGGGTCTTGCTGCCTGTTTTGTGTCATGCATGGCTGGGTTGCTGGCTGCGTTAATGTGTGCAGACGATTACCAAGATCAAAACTGACCTGGGTCTGCTGATGAAGAAGGCCGAGAAGGTCAGGGGCGATGTGGTGGTGGGGCCGCAGCGGCTGGCATCGTTGAGAGACCCGCTATTGAGAATCGAATACGATATAAGGTTAGGCACGGAGATGCGCATTACCCCACCTGCTTTGACCAACACAGCCGCTCACATGACGTCTTGCGTTTTGCCTGCAGGACACTGGAAGGCGTGTATGTCCCGAATGGCATTGCAAACCCGGCGCTTCGGAAGCCGATCTTCTCCATATGTGAAAGTGGATTCCTTGTCTGTGAGTGAAGAAGCTCCGTGAGTAAGGGGAGGGGGCCACACACGGCAGGGCGAGCAGACGATTGTATCAACGTTTTGCTGCAGAGGGGATGGGGCATGGGTGAATGGACATGACATGTGGTGTTGTCGTCGATTTTGCTGTTTGTGGGGAAGACAAGCTTGAGACAGGCACACCGTATGGCAGCTGCATGCCATCGTGTAGAATAGATCTTTCTCTCGGAAAGAGCTGCTGGCATCTGAAGCCTGTTCTTCACTCGTCATGGCCGTCAGACTCGCCTTGTCCGTCCTGTCTCACACATCAGTAGATCGTCGATCTACGACGCTATCTTGAGCTTTTTTCGTTCCGAATCGCATCTCCGTGGATCTATCTGTCTGTCCATTTGTCTGTCTGTTAACTCGAGTGGCTGACCAACGGACGCATCAACCACATCAATCATGCCCCTGGTGAAGGTGGACAGTCCGAATGTCGAGTACAGCGGTGAGCACATCACGTCCCACTACGACTACAGCACGGTGGAGGTGCGGGAGGACAGCGGCCACAAGATCTGCACCCCTTCCACGCGGCGATTCACCATCCGCACCGAGCGGCACGTGCCCAAGACGGGCCTGCTGATGGTCGGCCTGGGCGGCAACAACGGCACCACCGTCCTTGGAGGTAGTACACCAGCACACACACGGCATGGCACGCCACGCCATGCATGTGATCTTTGACCTCTGTGTGTGTTGCGTCTTGGTTGCATTGCAGGCATTTTAGCGAACAAGTACGGTATGACATGGGAGACCAAGGAGGGCACCCAATGCGCCAACTACCTGGGCAGCCTCACCCAGTCGTCGACGGTGCGGCTGGGGACCGACGCCCTCAAGGGGACCGACGTGTACGTGCCGATGAGCGACCTGCTGCCGATGGTGCACCCCAACGACGTGGTCGTGGGCGGCTGGGACATCAGCGGCACCAACATGGGCGACGCCATGAGGCGTGCCAAGGTGCTCGATGTGAGCCTGCAGCTGCAGCTCTACCCCCACATGAAGGACATGGTGCCCATGCCGGGCGTCTACTTCAAGAACTTCATCGCCAGCAACCAGGAGGCTAGGGCAGACAACGTCCTCCGCGGCACCAAGATGGAGCAGATGGAGCAGGTGCGGCAGCAGATCCGCCAATTCAGGGCCGCCACAGGGGTGGACAAGGTGATTGTGCTGTGGACGGCCAACACGGAGAGGTATGCCAGTGTCGGGCAGGGGCTCAACGACACGGCCGCCAACCTCATGGCGGCCATCGAGAGGGGCGATGACGAGATCTCCCCTTCAACCATCTACTGCGTGGTCAGTGAGTCAGCTACCCACCCTCCCCCACACACCTCTCTGCTCTCCATGTCTGTCTGTCCATCTGTCATGCAGGCGTCGATACTGGAGGGGTGCAGCTACATCAACGGCTCGCCTCAGAACACGTTCGTGCCCGGCGTGTTGGAGCTGGCGACGCAGCACGACACCTTCATCGCCGGCGACGACTTCAAGTCTGGCCAGACCAAGATGAAGTCGGTGCTGGTGGACTTCCTGGTGTCTGCGGGCATCAAGCCCACCTCCATCGTCAGCTACAACCACCTCGGCAACAACGACGGATACAACCTCTCCAGCCCACAACAATTCAGGTGGGTGCGGCGGGAGCACCTGTCGGCATGCAAACCAAACGCCCCCATGTATGGTGTGGTGTGGTGTGGGGTATCGATGGATCGGTCAGGTCGAAGGAGATCTCCAAGAGCAACGTGGTGGACGACATGGTGGCGTCCAACCGTCTGCTGTACCAGGAGGACGAGAAGCCCGACCACTGTGTGGTCATCAAGTACATCCCCTACGTCGGCGACAGCAAGCGCGCCATGGACGAGTACACCTCCGAGATCTTCATGGGCGGCCACAACACCATCGTCATGCACAACACGTGCGAGGACTCGCTCCTCGCCGCGCCGCTCATCATCGACCTGGTCGTCCTCTGCGAGCTGGCAGAGCGCATCCGCATCATGGACCACACACACAAGACGCCAAAATACGAAAAGGTGAGGCGGCGACACGAGGGAGGGGCCCTCTGCAGCGTATGCATCCTGTGTGTGCGTGTGTGTGTGTGTGTGTGTGTGTCAGATGCATGTTGTGCTGTCGTTGTTGAGTTACCTGACGAAGGCGCCCATCGTTCCCCCCAACACGCCTGTCGTCAACGCCCTCTTCAAGCAGCGCGACTGCATCATCAACATCATGCGCGCATGCGTGGGACTCCCCCCCGACAACCACATGCTGCTGGTTAGTCCCTCCCTCCCACACTACCCACACCCACACTGACACATGGAATCCATGTGGATGAGTGAGTGTGTGTGGGTGATACGTGTGACTGACTGCTCAGGAGCACAAGTTGAAGACGGCGGGGTCGTGTCAGCGGTTGCTCGCCACGCCGCCGACGCAGCCCACGACGCCCGGCATCGACCAGACGCCGCCATCATTCGCCAAGACGGATCTGCTGCCCGCCACCATGGTGCCCGCCGCCGACGCCGTCGACATGCACAGCAAGACCATCACCACCCAATTCAACAACAGGGACGCAGAGGCGGCCTGACGGATGGATGGATGGACCGCACTTACATACAGAGAGGGGAGGGGTATGTGGAGGCATGGATGGGATGGGTGCACGTGGGTGGGACTGTTTTGCCAAAAGGGTGAGTGTGGGGGCTGGGCCGGGGAGAGGTGCGGTGCCTGAGATTGGGGAGCCGTCTGTGTGTGCCAAGGGAAGATGCATATCATCCTTCCGTCACTGGCTGACACATGACATGCACCCACCCCACCCGGGTACCATTGCGATACTGTCTGTATCTGTGTGTCTATCAGTCTAATTGGTCGATCCATCATCGCACCTGCTGATGGACCGATGACGCGGCAACAGCGGGAGGGAGGGAGGGAGGGATGGATGTGGACTTTTGAGGGCTCACTCGGTTATATTGCATGCCTAGCATGCCTAGCATTCGGATCAGCGTGTATACGCGTGAATACACATGTACGGCCATGCAGGGACACGAAGCCACCCCACACGACACATCTCTACGGACCGACCTGACCCGTCACCTTCGTTCGACTGTCCATGTATGTAAAGTTTTGAACTCACTCTCTCTCTCCCTTCTTACCCAATTCAATTGGACGCACTGACTTGACTTCTTGTTCGTTCCTTCTGTCCTTATCTGAATGACAAAGTGTGTTTTTGCGTTTTGGTTCCCATTTTTCTCTGACACGCGCAAACGTATACAAATATCACACAGCAGCGGCTGTCGGTAATATTGGTTTAAGTGTGGGGTCGGTGGGCGGGGCGGGTGGGGTTTGTTTGTTTGTTTGTAGGCAGGGGCGCCCTTTCGTTTCGTTTGTGTGTGTAGCTAGCATGATCTGAAGAGAGTGTACAGTAGACAGCGTCTGTGTGCAGACAGTAGCTGTGTGGGTCCCTCATTCCGTCATCTTCTTCACCCATCGCCGCTTTTTTCCTCACCCAATCCCATCCGTTTCTCTCAGCGATGGATGGATGGATGGACACCTTCCTGTCATCTATCTATCTGTCACGGGTTGTTTTGACATTCTGCCCCTGCGAATGAATTTCTGTGTCGAATGCCTGTCTGTCGGTCTGTCTGTCTGCCTGCCGTAAGTCTGCCTTAATGGTGCATGAGTGCATCCATCCGTGCGACCAACAAGTACCGTATCAGTCTGTGTCCATCTGCCTCTTCCACACTTGCTCAACGCCTACCTGGTAGACGCACTGATGTGCGTCAGCGAGTGAGTCCATCTGCCTGTCTGTCTGCCTGTCTGTCTGTGTGTGTCTGTGTGTGTGTGGCAGCACCCGTATGAGGAGTCGACACCCAGCCAGGGTACCAGCCCCTGGTTGTCGCTAGCAGCTGGAGGGAGGGAGGGAGGGAGGGAGTGAGGGGACGGAGAGGACAGTGTCTTTGTGTGGTGATGGGGGGACAGACAGGAACTAGAGGTTGCTCGTCTCATCGCGTCGCAGCTCGTTTGTAAGTTTCAGTGCCGTCTGATGGGTGGTCTCGTGTGTGAGGTGTTTCTCGCACACCGAACCGGCAGGCATGTCAGCTGTTGCGTCACATTGCAGCAGCGACCTCCCTGCCGGATGGCTGTGCTAGCAACACACACACACACGCTTGCCCTTTGCGGGGCTGATCGATCGATCGACGAATGACGAATGGAATGAACGGCGCCACGAGCACACCAATGATGCGCATGGGAGAGTTGTGGGGTGGGGGGCAGAAAGATGGCAGGGACAGATAGGGGATAGAGATGGCCCATTCCATTCATTCCACCGCACTCCATCCACTGCACTGAATGAATGCATTGAGCGGCACTGCACGCCTTGTTGGCACGGTCGCTCCATGGACACGCCATGCATACCGCCACACAACGAACCTTCATATCTATCATACATGGTCTTTCCATGTTCGTGTGAGCATTCGTGTCGTATATCATATGCGTGCAACGTAACACACGTGTGCAATGCAAGACACAAGGCGCAAGACAAGACACATAGCTAGGGTGTGGTGTGAGTGAGGACCTAACCTAAGTATGCCAACAACCAGACACAAGAGACACAGACATCCTACCCTCCCTCCTCCTCTCCTCCTTTGTCTGTCACACCTGCGCCTCCACGTCCATCATCTTTTTGTTGTGTCTCGCCTCCATCTCGGCTATCAAATCAGCAGCTGTCGGTGTGGGCCCAGCACTGGCAGTTGACGGCAGGGACAGCGAGTCCAGCACGGGGCCTCTCGTCTGACACACGGGGGGCAAATCCTGCAAATGACCTGCACAGACCCAACCCTCTCATCGCGGACCATTCCATGCGTGTGTGTCTCCCTGGGTCTTCTTCACCCACCTGTGGCTCTCGCTACGTGTCTGTACTCCTGCGCCACTGCACACGGGCAGCACAAGAGCACCACACACGCATCCTGCACACAGTCACTCGACGGAAGGCTGTACTTCCTGGACGACAGACAGATACACACCACACCCATCGCGGGGTACCCCATTCCCCC